CAGTCTGACCTCTCCCCCCCAACCAATCTGGCTAGGGAGGCCCTAACAGTAGCTATGCTACAACCAGCATAGCTCTTGGGGTCACTCAGGTACTCAAGCCCCACCACCACGATGACAAGGTGCAGGTACCATTAAGTGGGGGGGGGTTTCCCCCATACAATTTTTTTTATTCTGGTGTAAGAAATGTAAGATTTCAAAAGGTAAGAAAGTTGCATTTCAACAGCATTGTATGTAGTGTGTCTAACTTCTCTGTTTCTTATTTTTTAAATCTATTTACAGTACCTGGTGCAGTACCAAGAACTGATATTGGAAGTTTTGAAGTGTCTGGTGGTCTGCCAAACAGAGATGTCTACATTTACTGGCAGCACATTCCGGATCATCTGAAAAATGGAGAGAACTTTGAATATAAAATTATATCTGTTAAGGAAAATGGACATGAAAGGTTAGTACAAGTAATGAGTGTACCTGATTGATGTCGCACAGATGTTGTGAGTTTTTGCTTGTTATATCCTGTGGAACATTTATTTGTTTTTTTTTAGATCATATTTACTTTATAGTCTATGGAGTGCTTTAATTCAGCAGAACTGTGCTGGTGCAGGGTTTGACTCTGCGTTTCAAGCGCTTCGTCTAGTATTCAATCCTATCGGTGATTTATCATCTGTATTATCAAATAATTTAGTTAGTACATTATTTTGTAATTATTACAGATCACTCACACCAAATGAAACAACAAATGCATATGCAAAGTTCAGAGGAATAAGCTTTAATAGCTTCCGGTTCAAAATTGTAGCAGCAAACAGGGAAGGTTACTCCAAGGATGTGTCAGAAGTCTACGTTCCAAGCAAGACTGAATGTAAGTTGATTTTTTTTAAAAAAAAATTTAACCATCTAATGCTCAGTGTGTGTGTGTGTGTGTACTTTAACATTTATTAACTTTACATTTTGCCCACGGAGTGTGTATATGAGTTCCATGTGATTCGCAGAATAAACAATTATTTTACATAAATTCTTACTGCTTTTATAAACTTCTAGAAGATAAAATTACACTTGTTACTGTGCTTAAGCGCCATATGAAGTCAAGATTCTTGGGTACATGTAATATGTGTGAATGAGTTGTAGTTTCTGAGTACGGACTGGACGATCTGAGTTTAATCCCTGGCAAGAGCAAAGGATTTTTCTTCCTACCCTCTTCATCCAGACTGGCTTCTATCCAATGGGTACCAGGGTCCTTTTCCCCAGGGGTAAATTATGGCCAGGACATACAAAAATTGATTGCGTACTGATATGTTGGTTTCAGTTTCCATACGTAATTATAAAATGTTTATCTATTTCCCATGTGTTAATGGGGAAGATAAATTAATTCACTTCACTATGGATTTAATACGTTGTTCTGATTTTATTTTTTGTTTACAGTACCTGCAGAGCCAGTTTCTTTCACAAAAATTGCATTTGACAATGGAGAATATGAACTCTCTTGGAAACCACCTGCCAGTGCTGCTGACAGAAGTAAGATAGAAAATTATACCATTTTTTGGTGTAACCATGAGCGAGATAGACCATACCAATGCACGGTAAGACTTTCTTTCATTCATTTGAACATGAATAAGATATACTTGAACGATTTGGATGCTTAATATCAAATGAAGTCAAATGTCAGTTGCTTATCTTACTTGGTTGGATATTAGAGGATGGAATTAAAATGAGTGCCAAAAAGAAGTAGAAAGCTATGTGATGCTGGTTCTGTTTTGTTTTTAAGAGAGACAGTGCTTGTGTATGAATCTTGTATTTCTTCCCGCCTGTATTCATCCATCCATATGTACATTTTTACATCTTAGAAACAAATGTAGAAAGCAAGACATGGTATTAATTTTTAAAGTCTTACATCAGATGTATCACAAAAGTTGTGTTTGAGTGGTATACCTGTTATTGACATACTTTCAGCTGGTCACCTTTAGAAACTTCATAGTCTCCACTATCATCCACGTTGGCGGACATCTTGCAGCCATTAACTGTGCATTTTCTATGTGCTTGTTTCAATGTTAATTCGAATGTTTAGGGCTTCCTGAACTGGACTCATGTACCCAGGAATGTGACTCTTAAAAAAATTCATGTTTCTGAGGACAAGATATATCAGTTTGCCATCTCTGCAAATACAAAGAATGCCAGCAGTGGAATGGTGTGGGCATCTTGCACTGTTATACATAACAAAGGTAAGTGTAACTCGTTCAGAAGCCACGTTGCGCCAATCACATGTCTATGTTTTTTTAGTGAAATTTTTGTAGTAATGTACAATTTGAACAAACAAATCCCTAACAACATACTGTTGCCGAACACAATTTCATATATATTAGAAAATACATGAGTGGTCATAATTAGTTTAAATGAACTGTCATGGAGCACCTCATAAAGTGTCTCCTTGATTATGCTTTACAAATATTTTGTTTTTTATGTGAGACTTGATTTCTATTTTATTGCATATAGAATGTATCTAGAGGTTATATTATGTGAATCTTCAATCTGTGGCGTACGTTAACAATACAATTGTTTACTTATATTGGAATGTGTAATTTTGTTTTTATGTTTCAGTTGTTGGTAAAATGAAGAGTGTATGGATAAACAGAATTGGTTCAACGTACATTGAAGTGGGCTGGAAGCTTGATTGTTCGGATCGAATAGGAACTGTTCAGGGTTTCAACATTTACTACTGCCCCATTGTTTCGCCTTATAACCTTTCTTGTAAAGGTAAATGAATTGTGTATTTTTAAATGAATGAACTATGCATGCTGACACAGCATCATGAATGAAGGATGTATATACTTTGCTCAAAATATTCTCAGAACATATAACTTGTACATACAAATTCTCACACTCCAGGCCATTACTGCTCAGGCATGTATATGTGCAAAAAAACATTGTTTAAAGTGATTTGTGCTGCAACGTGTATGACATAAGTCTGTCTCCCCTCACTACATATTTTGTACATGGTGTAGGACTTACTTCCCATAGATCCCACTTGATATTATCCTCCCATCTACGTCTAGGTCTGCCCAGCGATCTCTTCTCCTCAGGCTCCCCACCCAATACCCGGTGCACACCTCTCACCCCATCAATGCCCATTTCATAGGCTGATAGATAGATAATTGCCATCTGGCAAATATCATCTTACCTTTCCACGTGATTTTGTTTTAAAGTTGCCCATTATTATTATTATCATCATCATCATAATTTGATAATCTGTTAACTGAACCTGCTGCATGTACTTCAGTTGTTTTATTTTAATTGCATGGTTGGTAAGGCATGATCACAACTTGGAAAAAAAAAATCCCACATAAATGACCTTGGGATTGAACCCAGTCTTCCGTGGCAAGAAACCAGTAACAACCCCCTGAGATATGGCACTTCTGTGTGTAATATTATAATGAATAGTAAAACATTATCCTTAATACAGGCCCATTCCGTTTTTCGGATGGCAGTAATCAATTTGGTTATCTAGATCTTTTGGTAATGGTGGGTAGTATTCATTGTTTTTGTGTTACAGAGCATGAATTGAACACTACAGTGATGGGTGATCCTCTAACAATTCATGGTAATATAACAAATCTGAAACCCTATACCATATATATGGTAGCCATTGCAGTAATTACCCAAAGTGGTGAGGGATTGCAGAGTGAACCATTGTACAATACCACCTTAGAAGCAGGTATGTATCTCATTATTCTCTTTTGTCATGTCGCATATATGAAATTTGATTAAACATATTTGTATAACATATTCAGTAATTTTCTGTAGAAATACATTGACAAATTGAGAGGCATTAGTCATAAAAATCAAATGAACATAGATACACGTGTATCTTACACCATGGTTCGTAAGAAATGATCATTTACTGGTATGGGTAATAGGAACATCAGTGAGGGGGAAAAGGTGGCTAAATGCTATGTTGCTTTATGTGAAAATCAGAAATGTTATATTCTGATTGCTTTACGATAAGATACAGAAGCCACTCGCATCTTTATATCACACATTTTACAAATGAGAGGGGAACCAATCCAAACTTTGTTCCTAAGTCATGGGGTTTGAATGTATGTTCTGTGTGTGGTGTGAGTAGTTTACTTATAAGTTATAACTTAAAAGGAGGTATTATTTTCATACTTTAATATTACAGAATATAAAATTTTGAAGTGTTGTAACATAAATTTTATAGTACTGAGAATATATATATAATTAGCAGTTCTGTAAAATATATATGTGGTAGTATAAGTCAGCAAACACTCCTTTCATTTAAAAATAAACAGAATATGTGTTTTGTCTGGAAAAGAGATGATACTCTAAAAGGTATTGTAACAGTTTCTCTCTGTATAATAAATACTACTTCATCTTGTATCTGCCAATATCATTGTTCATCTTTGAATGAAAGACTTTAGCGACCCATCCACGTACGAGTCCGGCTTGCGATTCCGGCTTGGCTCGGGTTCCATTGAGCCATACTCGTTTGTGGGTGGGGGTGTCACGAGTTTGGGATTTTGCTATGCATGTCTGGTGAAATATATCCGAGCCCGGCTCACGAGTCAAGCTCACCGAGCCAGACTTGCAAGTCAGACTCATACATGGATGGGTCGCTTTAGACTTGTTGATTCATGTCTACCTGACTACTTAGCATTTATAAACTCCTCAGAAGCAGTTCTGTGGCTGGCTAATCTGTTTTGGGCTATAATCGTTTTTGGTTATTGAAGATAAATATTGCATTACCACAGACAATTATCATTTCACAATTTTCAATATATGTCTGCCTTAGCTTACTTCTACCAGTATTCTCTGACTGTGACAAGAGATCACGTCTTACAGTTGAAGCAACTTGTACGCAGTCATACTTTGATGTTACAATGTTTGTCTGTTTAGCGCCAGTTGCTCCAGGCCCAGTGAATATAACCGAGATTACTAATACATCAATGATTGTGACATGGCAGCCACCAAATTCATTGAATGGGGCATTACGGAACTATGACATCTTTTATGGTAGCAGAAATAAACGGCTGAACATGAACACAAATGTACGTAAGAAATTATCAGACTTGTGTGCGGTGAGAATACTGGACAGTGTATATGTCTCTTATCATGTGATATTCTTAAAACTTTGTTTATGCTATTTATCACAGTTAGGTTCACCAGATTTTAAGAATTACAGATATATTTGTAATCATCAACATTTTGGGTTTTATATGAGAACTTCTTGTGATGTTGTATTGCTTTTTTGTTGTCCAGCAGGTGAGTATGTGACTCTATTGCTTTTTTCTATGGTTTGTTAGGGGTGGGGGGTGGGGTAAGAGGACAAGGAAGGTATCTGTTGGGTCTCCTGGTTGAGCTAGCCTCACACCTATATGAATTTCAGAGGACATCTCAAGTCAGGAAGGAAGATATTTCAAACAAAAGTTGTAGAAAAAAATGAAACATGTTTTATGGTTTTAGGTGTAATTAAACATAAGTAACTTTTATACTGTCATCTCAGACTGCTTTCATGAAAATTTTGTGTTGTTCCCATTTCTTGTACGCCCTGCATATTTTACTCTATGATTGAGCATAAAACTTTGACATTCACAGATCGAAATTCCAGAGGCAATAAGAGCAAGTGCATTTTAAGGTACCTACTTAAAATAAAGCCTTCAAAGAGAAAATTGTTTTTGAGCTTTGAGGTTCTGATGATAAATATGATCGTGTTGTTCTTCAGTCTTAATAAAATTATTTAGTGGTAAAATGCCAACTGCTCTGCCATCTGTCTGCTGAAGAATGTTTCAATTAGTAAATTACAAATTTTCTGTGTATGTGTGTGTCTGTGTCTGAAAATTCAGTTTAGTATGTTTGTTAACCTGATGATGATCTGCATGCAGGAGAAGCCAGAGACTATTCCAGTATCAGTCAAACTGGAGAACTTGACAAGCTTTTACAACTACACTGTGAGTGTGGTGGCCTGTACTACAGCATGTTCTGAAAAGTCTCAACCTGTGACTGTCCAGACAGATATTGGAGGTAGGTTTTAATATACTATTTTCTGTTTTCACCAAATTTCAGTGAAACTTTTCTACAACAACTTTGCCTCTGAAATTAAAATCAAAATGTGTGGCAAGCAGAAGCGAATGTCCTGATGTAATGGGATTGTATAGTTTCCAGCCAGGCTCTAATTGATCTTGGTGTTTGTAAGAACAACATAATATTTACATTTCAGATTTAGTAACATCATTTGTGCTCATAACAGAAGCACTCATACCTTCGTGTAGGTCAAGTCTATGAAAAGTAATTAAGTATGCAAATGAGATAAAGGCAGGAAAACTAATAATAAATGCCACCACAATTTGAAGCATGTATCAGAGCCTACATTTTTGTAATGAGCCACTAATTTGTGTGTTACTGCTGTACTAAGTTTCACTTGTATTATTTCTTTGAAGCTGCTGCTTATCTGAATAATATTTAGGAATTCATTCCAGACCTCAAAGAAAACACCACTTCTCCTTTACAACTACAGTGAAACCTCTATCCATCGTTCCCGGAACTATCGTTTTCCCGGATGCATCGTCCGTTTTGTTCGGTCCCGAATACATCCCATATAAAATAATGTTACATTTTCCCGCTTCTATCGTTCCTCGAACTATCGTTTTATCGCATCGATCGTTCAAAAATCTTAGTCCCGGCCAACAATTTTCCCGCAATGATCGTTTCTGAGAAATTGTAACGAAATTTACGTGATATTTTTAGAATTTAATTCCGAAAGACGCACAATGTTTTTGGAATAAACAGTAGCGGTAACCTGTTATGTCGCCCAACCAGCACATTCTTTTGGAATGAGGGTCAGCGGTGCAGGGGTGATATTGGAGTGAATGGCGGTGCTCATTGTCAGAAATTTTACGATTTTAATTAGGGTGCACTCATATTTCGTTCCAGCGATGCCAGATGGCATGTGCAGTGTGAATTTCTTCACAAATGCTTTTATTACAAGGACAAAGGAAAGGCGAAAGTGCTGCTGTGGATGTGGAAATAACGGAGCTGTGGCTCGAGAGACTGCCAACACTGCTGGAGGGATATGAGCCGCGGGACATTTATAATGCGGATGAGACCGGACTTTTCTACAACGCCCTCCCGGATAGGACTCTGGCATTGAAAGGTGAATCTTGCCACGGGGGAATACGTGCAAAACACCGAATTACTGTTCTTCTGTGTGTTAACAGTGACGGTAGTGACAAACGGGTTCCGATTGTAGTTGGAAAATCACTGGTTAATGCTGTTTCACTAAATGTTGCTGTTAGTTTGGCAATCATGTAAAACCTTCACATGCTCTTGGTAATCAAAATGGAGAGTTATCGATTTTCGAACCCAGTGGTGTATATAGTTATGTTATTAATACATGCACACATATTTTAATAGTCCTTAAATTAAGTATATAATGACTCAGAATATCCAAACCAAAATGTAAAATTCCAGTACCTGGTGTGATGGAGCGTCCAACCGTCCAGATCATCAATTCGTCCATGGTGCTGGTGTCGTGGAAACCTCCACATAACCGTGGAGGTCTCCTGAATTATTATGAAGTGACAGCAATTAAGGTGGATGAAGACAGTGAGAGAAATGAAACACATCTGTACAACACCACAGGTATGAAAAACTCCAAGTAATTGAGATCTTTGGCATATGTGCATTTAAGTCATCCATACTTTACTTATACTATCACTGATGTTTAAGGAATTCCTTCCTCATAAACTTGTAGATGCTCACCAGTTTCTATTTTGGTGGGTAACCCAGAATTATGTTAGCTGTACAGCTATTAAGTAAGGAAGTGTAAAGTAATTTTAATACTGATGACAAAATAATGCTACTAATATTATGGCTGGTGAAATGCTGATAATCTCAAAATTCAGTGTTCTCAGTGTTGGGCTTCTGGATGGTCGTGCCATATAGAGTTGTAGGTAGATTCCAGTGTTGCATTTGAAGACACAGCACATTACATATATCTTAAAAGTACAAAATTTTACCAAAAATCTTGAAATATACTGGTGTCACTGTAAATGAAATGATACATTACTGTTCTCGGATGCATATTGGAAACATTTTTCAGAGGTATGTACAAGATGCCTATTAGAATATTCTCTTAAAGTTTTATTTAAATTGACCCATTGTGAATGAAGATGCTTGCGTAGGATATCTGTAGCTTAAACAGATGCCCAGGAACTGGAGGTAACCTCTGTTCAGTGTTTTAATACAGCAGTAAAATTTTATTATGCAAATGAACTCTATTCTTTTCGGCGAATGAAGTTGTGGAGGAATAATTTTATTTTGTTTACATGGTATAGACAAGTTATGTTAAAAAAATCATGGTCCACCTTTTTAAAATATGGTCTCTTATTGTTTGTGGTTTCAGAATAATAACATATTAACTGAAGATTTCTGTCTTCTGGGTTGTTGCGCTGTGTAGTCTGGTCGATGTTAACCAACGTTTCAGAGGTCATACTGCCTCCATCATCAGGGCGATATTCACCAGACTACACAGTGCAACAACCCAGAAGACAGAAATCTTCATACTCACCGCTATGAAAACCTCAAATATTACAACATAATAACTATTCAAGTGTAAGAAACTTAGAACATGACATATTTTCTGAAACAGCATGTTGTAGCGTAATAATACATGCAACGGTATTCAGCCTAAGTTTAATAAATCAAGTGGTATAATAAAGGGATTTGTTTCCTTGCAGCCACCGAGTCACAGATTCCAGTACCAGATTGTGAAACGGAAGGCTATTTGAAGTACTTGTTCCTGGTACGTGCCGTGAATGTGGGGGCCAATAATGTGACTTTCCATGGAAACTGGAGCAGCCCTGGAGAAAGCAATTGTTATAGTTCAGGTAATAAAATCCCTGTCATTATTCTTCCATGGTCTCAAGGATTAGGTATCAGAAAACAGGGCATCAGAGAGGATTTTGAATTAAAAATGGGAATAGCAGCATCACAAGAAGCAAGTTTGGATGTGCCCCATGGATTTGATGGGGGACAAATAGAAGGCTCGGGTCTACTGCAAGAATCTGCCAAGGATGTAGAATTGGATTGGTACTGTGGCCCTCGCAAGCCTATATACAGCAAGCAGGAGGTGAAGACAATGCAAAAATTCCTTCTTTGGTTTATTAAGTATGTTGCACACAATAAATAGAGTTTTTGATTGATTATCAAATTTGTGTAGGTGTTGTGACGTAGCTGACTGTCGACATAGTGCAGCGTACAGACTTGTAGGTATGAAGCTTCATAATGGACTTCATATATTCATATTTCATGTTTTTTGTTTTGGGGTTTGTGAGACAGTTGGTATAAATACAAGGCAAAATGATACTAGTATGACCATAATATGTACGCTCATAGGTTGATTATATGTCACAAGAAGTGTTGAAAATTTAACATAATTTTTATGTTCTTAAATAGTAATGTCAAATTCTCTACCCTGCCAGATGATAGATTTGAATGTGGCATTACCAATTTTAACATTTCTGTGACGAGAACAATATAAGTTTATATGGTACATATTTCATACATGGTTCATGATAAGTTTCCATGGAAAATAGAGTATGGATTTTAATTTGGACATGTCTCACATCTGTACAAATATTCTGAAGGTTAGAAACATTTATTTCATATTTTAGGAATGAATAGAAATATAATGATGTTTCTGGAGCATCATACTTTACTAAAAAAAACTGAAGGAGGAAAGATGGAATGGACAAAGCATGTGTTGATTATTTAGTGCACCTGTGTAAGTTGTTTGTTATTGGGGGGGGGGGGGGGGGGGAAAAAAAATTTGTCATAAGACTCCGATGTTTCTGTTTCTAGTTCTCTCACAAAAGCAGGGTTAATTGATATATTCTGCTATTAAGCTTAATACTTTTCAGTATTTGAAACTCCCAAGTTCTTTGGGAAATACTTCATCTAGATCTCAGCTCAGTCAGTATAGTGTCTATGGTTTTGATGACCAGGGTTTGATCCCTGGCAGACGCAAAGGATTTCCTTCTATCCTCTGCATACATATCTGCTCTGGAGCCCACACAAACTTTTGTCGAATGGGTATTTGGAGTCCTTTACCCAGGGGTAAAGCATGGCTGGGTCACGATGCTGACCACTCACCGCCATTTAGTGCTGAAGTGCTGTAGGAGCTAAACCCTGTCTCCCCCAAGCACCACTTACTGTATAACATAATTTATTAAGTGGTGTGTACATATGGCTTTTGGTTCATGGTTGGTACAGCTAACAAGATACATTGCAGAAGAGAGCGAGGGTAATCTTTTTCACAGACTGGACTTTATTTTGTTATATATGTCACCAGAAAAGATGAGTTATACAAAGAAACTTGATAGGCAGATTCCATTGTCGAGTTTGGCTGTATCTGGGTGACTTCGTCATTCCATTGTTCGAAGGAATTTTATTTTATTTCTCTTGTCAAGAATTTACATATGATTGTATCGGTAAATTTATATTCATTATTTTTAGTTTGCTTCTGTAGGTGTGTGGGCGGGCGGGCAGGCATGCATGCATGTGTGAAAACATTTGGTTACATCTAAAAAATTATGAAATTAAGTCATTGTATAGAAATTTATCATGAATGTGAACGTGATTAGCAAGCAGCTGTTTGTTGAAAGATGGTTGTGGTAAAGAGGATGAAATGAGACATTTCTCTACAACACTACTCTTATTCCTCCAACTTTGGGCTTTGCTTATAAAACCATAAGGAAAATCAAGACATTCAGATATTCTCCTTTAGTGTAACCTCGCCATTATATGTATACGAACTTTGTTGTCTAGTTGACTGGCAAATGTTGTGTAAGGAGGTCTGATCAGAGATTATCACCTGATACATGTATCGTATATAGCTTAGTCAGTATAGTGACTAGCTACGGGCTGGACGACCGGGGTTCGATCCCCGACGGGGGCAGAGGTTTTTTCCTCTAGCCTCTGCGTCCAGACCGGCTCTGGGGCCCACCCAGCCTCCTCTACAATGAGTACCGGGGTCCTTTCCCGGGAGTAAAGCCGGCCGGGGCGTGATGCTGACCACTCACCCCCATCTAGGGCCAGGGTCAAGGAAGAGAGGAACTGTACTTCCACTCACCCCAAACGCCTAAATGGCGTATAGCGGGACAAACTTTACTTTACTTTACATGTATTGTATGATAACGTGTGAGAACACACCAGTTTTAAAGGTGAAAGGGTTTACAAATTACATCATTAGTATTTCAAACCACCAAATAGATTCAAAAGAAAATAAGAAGGATGAACCCTGACCCAGAGTGTTTTAAATTTGAATCCAGAAGAAGAAGATGAAGCAACAGCTTAGGAAATCAGTAGATTAGGTCATGGTCTGTAAACCCATAGATAGCAGTCTGGATGTAATGGAAAAATAATGGTGATGACGAAGGTGGTGGTTGCTCTATTTCTTGGTTTTCCTGCACGTCACTTTTTACACACACTGTTTACTGTCTGTTCACTTGCACAACATGTTCCGAAGCAATGTGGCCATCATCAGGTTCAGTTCCCTGTTTAATTGTCTTTGGGATAGCCTGGTGAATCCTCAGAGGAGATATATAATATATAGTTTTATTATTATTTCTGGACATCAGGGAGGAGGATCTTTAGTGAAATGACATAGAAGGAGGAATTTGAACTTGATGATTGCCAGATTGATTTCAAACATGGTGTTCAAGTGAACAGTGTGTGAAAAGTTACATGCACGAAAACCAAGAATTCAGCATGTAACACCAGGATGCTACACTACAGATTTGTCGGTGGTGGCTGTGGTGATGGTGGCGACGATCTTCATGCTTACTGCTGTATAGCCAGTTACGAAGGTTCTTGCATGTCATGTGCTTTAGATATGAATCCGGAGTACTGGAAGAGGAGCATTTAAGTACAGAATTTCTGTATTTTCCCTCCCACTTTCATAGTGTGTATTAGAGTGTATTTGCAGTTCTAGTGTCATCTAGACTTCCGGTTTGTGAACATTTAATTAAATTAAAGAATTGTAGACTAAGATTTTTATCTTGTGTATCAATATATGTTAAATGTTATGTAAAGTCTCCCGTATGTTATCAGTGCTAAATAAGCTACAGCTTTGGATCTTGCCATTTCAGGCGCCTGCAAATGCTGAGAATTGTTTTCTAATGAGTATAACCAGTTCTGTTTTTGTGGCAAAAAATGTGGTGGTACTTTGAAGTTATGCCTGACTATTTATTTAGTCCTCTTTGTATTTAAATAAAAGTGGGGCTTATGCTGCATTTCAGTGTGTACTGCTGCCAAAATGCACTACCTGTAACACATTTGAGAAGTTTCTATCCATGCCAAAAATAAACCGCAATAAAACCAACATTGTTTTGATTCTATAGTGACAAAAGTTGACTGTACATTGAAAGTATCGTTTTTCTTTTCCTTCTTTGCATTGTTTTCTGTCATGAAAAAGCCTGGTCATGTAATTTTTTAAATAAAAATAACCCTTTAAAGCCCAATGGTAACTATATGTACCACTCATTGATTGCATTTTGCCCACAGAGTTTATTTACAGATTTTATATGGTTCTTAGTGTAAACTGTGATTATTTCCTCAAGAAACTTTAATCAGTTGATCTTTGTTATGATGTAGTGTTTTCTTTGCAGTACAGACTGAATTTTAAATATTATTTAGATGAGCTTTGGCTTCCTAGGGTTAATGTTCATTATATTTATTTCTGCTTTTTTTATTATTTTTATAGGGGCCTCGTCTTTAACACAGCTTGTGGTCTTGCAGAGTCTTAATCTGGCCCTATATTATATTGATAAAAGTGTAGTAGTAGGATATGCTTGGAATATTTATGCTTGTTTTATTGTTTCATTACTTGTGAGAGTACTTAAATTTGCATTTATTAATAAAGATATTAACTTCACATGTGTGTGTGTGTGTGTGATGTAGGACAGATGAAGTACAAATTCTTTTGTTATTATGAATGGCAGTGTGATATGTGGGAAGACATTTGCAAGTTATTACTAACCATTTGACTACATAAACACATGGAACAGAGTTCTTCTTGAGAATCTGATATTATGCTCACCTATTCAAAAAATTTCCTGCGTGTTTCCACTTTCTAAAGTATTGACAATTATATGAAGTTGAAGTTGTGTCATGAATGATGGTCTTAATACAAACTTTGAAATATGTCAGCTGAATAACGGGGAAAGGGCCAAACAGTTTCTGGAATGAAAGTTATCCTATACTGAAGAATTTATGATTTTGCATACAATTACTTATCTGTAGGGCCTGAGGATGAATCAGTTACATCCATCTTTTCCCTCTTTCGTGGTAAGACAGCAGCATCAGCTTGTAGGGGACTGAAACAAATTTGTGAAATCTCATTCCACTAGTTACCTGTCCTGAAATCTGGTACATTGTTAGAAATTTTGTGCCGTTAATACTTGCTGTTCACGTGGGCATTCTTGAAATTGGAAGTATCTGATGTTAGGAGAGAATAAATCAAAGTCAACTATTCATTACAATGACTGAAGAGCAAAATTTTTAAATATTGCATCATTATTTAATACATTCTGCAGTATATACAGTATATTAAAGCCATTGTGCGCATTACATTTTTTGTTGTTATATTTTGGAAGTTTTGTATTACTATTAAATTGTTTAGTGGTTGGGATGCATTGTTGCTAGAAGTGGAGCATTGCCCAACAAGTTCACATTAAATCCCAGATACAAATAAATTTTTGTAGTTCAAGCTGCTGAGTGATTTAATCCCGTGATTCAGACTGAAGGGGTAGAATATAGACATACCACACAAATACCTCCACAGAAAATGAGAGCCGTTTAAACTTTTTATGATAATTTTGCATTCTGTTATGCAGTCCTTTTGCCTCATACTGCTCCAATTCCTAAGTGAAAGAAAGCTTGTATTTTTCCTTCATACCTTTGAAGTGTGAATAGTTTGTAATGTTTATAATCTGCATTGCTTTCTTTTTTTGAAAGTGACTGTGGTACTGTGATTTCACGGAAAGGAGCGAAGAGACATTCTTAGTATGTTGTTCCTGAAACTGACAAAATTAAAATAACTCAAGTTACAATAAAAATAACCTTTTTTGGCCTCGTTTTAGTGTCATAAAAAACATGCCAGAACATTGTACCACTGCCATATTTCCAAATAAAAGTCCTCGAAAGTATGAATATAAAAAAATTATATGTTCGTTGAAGTCCACATACTTCACAGAAAATATAGATTCCTCCATTATTTCCCCTGGTTTTTGTGGTTACTCTGTTGCCAACATTCAATGTGTTCAAAGTTTTGCATAAAATAACTTATCTCTGTATGCACAGTTTCAGAAAATATTTTTGCTTTCATTGTTAAACTGAAGTGAGACATTTCCATTGTTTTACATCCACCCACTGGTATACATCACTTATGCACTACCATTGTTGTAATGATAATCTGATTAACACAACCGATTTACACTTGAACAAACACGTTAATTAGGATTACTCACATTATGCTGTTGATTGTGGCACCAAGTAGCTGTTTAGTGTATCGTACTTGCAAAATACAAACACTAACACAAATCTTTTAGCCAAACCCAGATTGTCTTGCCACATTGTAGTAGTGTTTATCTTTTAACACTGTCCCTGCTTTCAGATTTTAAGAGGATAACATAGAGATGTGTGATTTCGCTTTGATCGTTTAGTGATATAAATGTTTTCTCTTGAAGCTAGAGTTTATGATTCTTTGTTCACCTTTGCTTATTAGCACATGATTTTCCCACTACCTTGTCCAACATTTCATATGCCAGATCAGCATTGATACAAAAAAAAAATTATATGTTCATAATACTGTTAAGTTGTCCAAATTAGCTCTGAACACGTGATGGTGTGGATGAGTGGGTGCAGCTTCTGCAGTGCATGTGTGTGACAGAAGATGAAGTTCCTGTACTTCCACTTGATTTTTTCTGTAGACATGGCTTGACATCGTGATATCTTTGTGTTGCAGCTATTCCCAAGGCATTGGTTATAGTTATCTGGGTGTGTGGAACCATCATATTCCTCACCATGTCCGTCTTCTTTTGCTACATGGTAAAAAGGTAAGCAGTTGCCATATCAGCTTGTTTTATATTATGAGTACGATATAAAAGACAGAGTTGATAGGTTAAGTGTTATTTACAGAATAGGTTTACCATTATATTAAGTGTTTATATTCCTTACCATGAGTAGGATACCAGACTAAATGGCTCTACGATCCAGAAGATGGTCATCTTTTTTTCTCTCTGCCATGAAAACTTCATATCCTACCAGGAGAAAGATAGTTCATTATTGTTTTAACACATACACTGATATTTAAAGACAGTCACTAGCATTACAAATCAAAGTAACGTAACTAAGTCTTGAAGATATATCACAGTTGAATCTGCATGTATAGTTTTGCGTGTGTCCATAGTTCCAAATGAATTAAAATGAATTGGAAAATTTACAGTTACAGAATATGCCTGGTATGCCACATTAACGCAATGCGTAGTTCCTCATATGATTTTGGATAGTATTAGTTGTTCTGGAAAGTTAAAATATGTAGCCCCTATGAAGGTGACATTTCGTGTAAGCAGATTAGTTGGTGACTTACCTGAACAAGTGGTATCCAGCATAGCGGCACAAGAGAAGTGAACTGACTGGACCCCAGACGCTGTGCCAACTGTGGCAGATCTCTGTGTAGATTAACAGCATACTTGCTTCAGTTGCGGCACCTTTCTTTCAGGCTTGAGTCTCCGGTGGATGGATAAGGGGGAGGGAGAATTTTAAGTGAGCAGAAGAGAATTCTTCCTGGAATTAGTAATTTGTAGCTTGGCTGGGTAAACCAGTTTCCTAGAAATTTCTTGTATGAGTTTTATTGTGGTCTCTCCGACTTTATGGCTGTTGACGATACTGCACAGTAATTCAGAAAGGTTTACTGGTAAACAGAAATGCTTTTGAGAGACCCAAGAGTCTAGTGTTATTACTGTAATAACTTAAGCAAGATAAATTTCTCAAGAAATGATCATAAAAATGAGCTGTAAATTACACAGACCAAATACTTTCCTCATCCTAGCATGACTCAGGATAAAGAAGTCTCTTGTCATTTTTATAATTTATTTTTCAAGTTTATCTGATGTACTGTTATCACTTAGGTTAAATGGTGATGTTTATTGCAGCGAGGGAATATTTGACCTCGGAACAGCTTTGAAATTCCTACATGGCTAGAAAAACCATTTGAAAGTGAAGTCCATTTCCTCTTACTGAATCTTTATTTGAATCTGTTCATTCTAAGAATTCTTGTTGACAATCAAGTTGTCCATTGTGTTGCAAAATGCACACCGTGGGAAGCCATCTCATGCATGACTTCAGAAGCGTGCTGTTCAGTCACAGTTTTTTTATATCAAGATTAAAGAAAGTCTGCAACCATCATTCGAGACGACATTTCTGTGAATTGATGATCATTAAGCAACTGCCCATATAGTGACACAGCACTCTGAAAACAAAGAGACAAAAACAAGAGCTGTGAAAGATAATTTTATCTTTTATCCTGAATCATTGATGTCAGTCCAGGAACATTGATGAATGTTCCTTATGAACATATTTAAACAAAACAGTTTCTAAGAAGGGAACGTGCTATGAAACATGGACACATTTTGACAGTTCACTTGATTTACCAAATTCACCTGCTATTAAGCAAAGAGATTTGTAGTAGCCTTGGACTACAATTGTTGTTTAGACCCTGAGTGAGATGTTGTCTGTCAACATTTGAAGGGAGGAACCAATTGACTAACAATCCATTAAATTCAAACTAAAGACAGAACAATAGGAAATGCAGCGCTTTGGATATTGCAGAGTGTTTCACTTCCAAGAAGAGCAAAGAGTCATGGGAGAATGAGTTGGACTGCTTTTGGCTTTGTGATTGCTCCAAGAAGCAAACCTATTCAGAACTGAATGGGTAGAACCAAAGCAAATGAGTTAATAGTGTGGGGCAGTATTATTTCTTGTTATGTAGCCATGAACATTTTTACGTGAGATGGAACATTTTTCATGCTTTTGTCTGTTTGTCAAGTTCGTAGATTATGTAAAGTGAAATGAGAAATTACAGTTGATCATGGATGTTTAATGAGAATGAAATAGAAGGATGTGGTTGTGGTATATCTGTCCCAGCATTCATATAAAGAAACAAGAAAAGTGCAGAAAATGTTTGTTTGCATAGCCAGTCTCTGAAGTATCAAGCTTCAAACCTGGGACCTTACACATTTGATGTAGGAGTTCTAATTGTTACGCTGTAATGTCCAGTTATATTTTATATAGGGGAGTTGTAATTTTTTAATTATTAATACCCAGTGGAGTGCTAGAAGAACTACAGAACCTATTTAATTTCTATAAAAGTGCTAAAGATCTGCTTTTTTTATTTCAGAGCCTGGCTCAGATGCAAAGAGATGCAAGATGTAGAAGTTAAGTTGCCACCAGGGTTGGCTCCATCTGTGAGTATCTGCATGGGGGGGACTCTGAAATTTATGCTAGAAGTAGTAATATTTTAGAGATCCACACTTTTGGTTCAGGCTTCTTTATCATCATGATCATTTATCTACCTAGTTTTGTGCAGAAAGGTTGTGTGTGTGGGTAAAGTAAAGTAAAGTGAACCATATCTGGTGAGTAGAGACGCTGTCACACACGTGAAGTACTGTATTTGGCAAAACATTGCTGCTTAAATTGAGCTGGGCATGTGTGTTATCATGGTGAATTTCTCATTTGCCAGATTCCCACATTCGCAGCCATTTACAGTGTACTGCGTCAGAGACTTCTCACCTCTTCTTAATAGAAACATTAGTGTTGGAGCAGTGGTATGATGCTTTTCTTTTGCTTCATACTTACCCATCATACCAAAAGTAATTGTTTTCCATAATACAACCTTTTGGCCATAAAATATACCAATGGAATTTAACACCAAAACCAGAGATTGCAGGTGGAATAATGATATTTTTGTCAAACTGTACTGTAAGAAAGTAATGCTGGATTATACCACCCATTTCCACTAGTACGTTCATGAAAATGCATTAAAAACTGCTGGTCAGACACCATACTTGGGGGGGGTGTCCCTTTTCCATTATACAAGATCAAAGATAGCACTTACCTAAGATCATTATATATTTTGTGGGTAGTCAGTGGTGTTCAACCACTTTTTGTCTTGATTAATGATTACATGAAGGAGGTGAAATAGTTTTTGGTTTAAAAAAGAATTTATTTTTGTAAAATCCTTTAGAACCTCTCACAGACCACCAATGCTTTATGCATAAGTAACACAGAACAATTTTGCAAATGTCAAATGTGAGATTTGAGGTTCTCACAATGTTGAGTGTGTTTTTGTTGGTCTGCTGGATTGTAACACTTTATTGACTTGTAGATAGATACTGCAAGTCCACACAACCCAGAAGACCAACATCAACATAAAACAAATCTAGAAATCGATGATGATGAAGATGTCTTCTGAGTTGCTGCGCCATGTAGACTTGTACAAATTGACCAACATTTAAGGGGTGCCTACTGCCTCTGTCATCAGGGCAGTGAGGCAGTAAGCACCTCTAAAATGTTTGGTCAGTTTCTGCCGTACTACATAGTGCAGCAACTCAGAAGACATCTTCATATTTACCTCTGTGAAGAACATGAAATCTCACTTGGTATCAATTATGTTAATGTTTCTACAGGAGAAGGAAAAAGACCACGAATATTGGCCACCAGTTGATACTCGTGATCACATATTAGGGAAACCTCGCTCAAATGCTTCAGCTGATGAAGAGGTAAGTTTTAAGTTGTAATTCTATGACTTTCGTGTATGTGGAGACTTCCATATTTACAGTATTTTAACATGATGGGTAAAATACATTGGCTGGATATGTGACTATAACATGTCAGTGTTATTGCTGTTTTTAGTAATATAATATTTCACATACAAAACTTGAGGATTTCATGGCAGTGAATTCAGATTATGGTCTTCTGGGCTGTTCTTCTGAAGCATTTGGAATGCAACCAGAAGAGCAAGAACCAGAAAACCAAAATGTAATTCATTTTCAGTCGTGTATTAAGAACAGAAGCTAGGAATATCAGGTAAGTGATCATTGTTTTTTAGTTCAGGACACACACACTTGCTCCAGCTGACACACTCACTAATGACATCAACCAAACCACAATATATATACTGCACCCGGTACAATAAATTTAGCATACCAAGGACTGGTTTCATAGTATCAGCTCTCTCAGTTTGGAAAATTCCATCCATTTTTTGTTTTCCCTGATTATGTTAATTTTTTATAGATTTAGTTTATACTTTTCACTCTATTTTGAAATAAATTATGGCAGTACAAATTTTGTTCTGACAGAAGTGATGGGTGATAAAATCTCCCTATAACACAAGGGATGCAATCCTAGAAATAATGACACTGTGTTCCTGCATTTTTACTACACCAGCACGAAACAAAATAGGGGTTTAAGGAAATACAATACAATTAAAGTTTTTTGTAAAAATAAATGTTAAGGTTCTTGGTGCCAAGCAGTCAGAAAGGAAAAACTATGGAATTGGGGCTGATGTGGGGAACTGATGGTACGAAGTTGAGTAAGAGTGTGTGTGTGGTACTTTTGTAGTTGATTTTGCTACTGTTATTATGGAAGTTATGAATATTGTATTGAGATTGAAGTTTATTTGTCCATGTGTGGTGCTTTACCCAGATTTGTCTACAGAGTGATGAAGAAAACTACAGGTGTCAAAATTTGGTTATTTTGCTATAATTCGTATTTGACTTTTCTTCATACAGTACTTGTTGGATAAGAAGGAGGAGAGACATGGACGTAACCCAATTGGAGACTGTAGGAATGAAAGTGTCTCTTCCTCTCTGAAGTCTGGCACGCAGTTCTGTGATTCAGGCATTGAAGTAGATCAGGTGAGCATTGCATCTGCTCTAGCATATCTGTACAACTGAAGCTGCAAAGAGATGATTTTGTTGTTTTATGGACTGTTTTAATGGTACAAAGCACGTTTTGTTCATTTGGCCAATGGCCACTTATCAAGATTAATAAGAAATTAGAGGTTCGTATGGTTCATGCTGATATTGGTCTTCAGGGTTGTGAGGCCGCAAGTCAATGTGGCATTATCCAGAAGATTAATATCGACATCCAGATTAATAATTTGGACTGAATACGTGATACATAATATGTAGTGCTGATTTTAGATTTTATTTAGAAATATGCTGTTTGCAGTTCTGTTAAAATTTGTAAGAAATTAACTTACTTTTTAATATGGAAAATTACACTGTGTTTTTGAATGTGTTAAGTAGTAGATTGTGTGAACAGTGATACTCTTAAAGTTTTCAGTGCCAGGCTTGAACAAATAGCATTTATAATATTTTAGACTCATGCAGTTGGGGTATTATATACAGTACAAAGAATGTATTTACTTGCATATGCATTTTTTATTGCTTTTTAGATGTTTTTTTAGATATTTTGATTGATATAAAACACAGTTAACAGAAGTTATATTTATGCTGGAATGCATGCCATTGTAATATATCTAGACTGTTATGTCCTGGGGAATTATGTAGTTAGTACAAAGCATATTTTTTTCAAGATGTGCGTTTGTACAGAGCAGCATATCCATTCATGTAACATTTCTTACTGTTTTATGATAATTCTATTTGTACAAGAAAATAAGTTACAAATAAGTGCCGAGCCTTTTATGGTGACATGTATGTGGATGAATGTATAACGTTCGTTTGCTGAGCTGACATTACAAGATTATTTTGGTCACAATGAATAAATGTTTCGTATGAGTATAAAACAAGTTAACAGATGATATGTCCCATCTAAAGCATTTTTTAATAATAATGTGTTAACTTTATACTGATGAAATTATGAAGTAATTCATTTTTCTTTTATAATTAGATTGTATAGTTGATACACTGACTTTTCATGAATGAAAATAACTTCTCTTATGGTAGTTAACATTAGTAACTAATGCTACAGTTGTTTAGAAAACTGTATTATTCATGATTCTTGTGCATTATGATAAACAAGAATCCCAGAATTTAAATTAATGTACGGTAAAGTGTACTTTACTAATTCTTTAAAACGTTTTTTTAATCTCAACATATTCTGCATAAATTCAAAGTGAAGGACCAACATTCACTTTTCGTTGCCTCCGAGTAAGGTAATCAGTATCATATTTTGTTCGTATATTCCAGATATTGGCATGTGGTCTCACTGTCACATTAATTATGTGGCTTAAAAGTGACAATAAGTAAATAAAGTAACAGCTTGAAGGCTTTCACCTTGATACTTCCAGCTTAAAATAAGAAAGAAAGTAGGTATTAACAGCTGAATGACCATAACATAAATCTAAAGAAACATTGAATGAAGGTGTAAATTGAATTCACTAAATTCAAGACAAGGTGTTTGATCTTTGTTAGGCAATAATTTGTGTATGATTGGGAAAAAAGTGAGATGATTTAGTTGTAGCGGCATATAGTCTGGCAGAAGTTTACCAGTGTAAAGGGTGATGAGCCCTGATGATGGAGACAGCAAGGACCTCCGAAACATTGGTAAACTTTGGCCAGACTGCATGCTGCTACAACCTAAAAGAAAGCCATCATCGGACTCACTGCTGTGAAAACCTCAAATCCTACACAATATTTTAAAATATAATGTAAGCACTATTTGATTAATAGTGCTTGATATGTCACATATGCAGTATAACCAATGCCAAAATCAACTGGTCTGCAGGTTTCATATGTCATGTTGGCTAATTGTTATGAACTTCATCTCTCAGTGAGTTTAGAGCACCATTTGTGATGTTGAGATGCAGAAGGCTGTTAATTTTGTTTGCTCTGGCAAACATGCTTTTCCTCTGTAAGGATGAAGCAATCTGTTTTCTGCAGTTCCTCAGTCCACAGTCTGTCATATGTTCATTTACACATACTTTTCCAGGATTTTAGTAAATGTCTGCTGATTTTAATATTTTGTGTAATTCTGTTTTGTTTTTACTAAATAACGGCACATTGTATATCTGTGTCAATATAGTATTCATTACGCAGCAATGTGATAGAAAAATTAAAACTACTTTTATGGTATTGACTTGCTTTCAAAGAGCACATTTCATACATTTTCAGCCAGTATAGCCAATTCCACAATTCTTTTAACTTCATCCCACATCCCAGTTTCAGGACTTTTGAGATGGCATGAAGTGTGCAATAGTTTGCAGCAGTGTCTTCCTGTTTATTGTTTTGTTTAATTATGCTTTACCAACTGCACATGCTGTATATGGCACCCCACGCCTTCTGATGACCTCTTTAAGATATATTATGTTGGCATGAAAACCATTAAAATTATTATGTTTTCTTTGTGGGAATATCTTTCTTGGAGTTCCACAGTTCCATTTCAGAACAGTCTACATTATTCTATTGAGTTTGTAGAAGTCATACTTCATAATGCTTCTTCAGTGGTTTACTGATGCAGTACTTAATAAACTTGACCGTACAGTTCTTGGAATGTCCTCAAAGGAAATGTCTCCCCTCTCATCCCTTTCAGCATTATTCATAGTCGTGTTCACAATGAGATTTGAGTTTCTCATGGCATGATGATGATGATGATGATGCCATGTAGACTCATAGGTACATACCAGCATCTTGGAGAAGTCTGCTTTGATGCATTTAGAATAAATCAGCGACTGGAGATATATTAAGAATGAATTTCTCAGTAGTAGTGTTCAGCAATATATATATTTCAGGTTCTCTAGATCAGTCATTTGCATGAATGTTAAGTAAGTAACCTTGTAAAGTCAATTTTACTTCTGTGCAGATTACTATTGGAATCTCCAAATAAATTCCAATTTTAATTTTTTTACCAAGTATTTTTTAAGTTCATATTCTTTTAGATCATATGTCACTGTACAAATCTACAGTATTTTGATACTTACAGTTTTTCCCTTAGTCTGTACTTTAGATGATTCTGCTTTTCATTCCATAGACTTCATGGTATTATATATATATATATTTAGTACTCTTTGTGATGCCATTTTTTAAGTCTGCAAAATTTTATTATGCCCTGGGCTCTCTTTGACTGAAATTTTGACATTTTCACTGCTAATTTTCCTTGCAGTTTATTATTTTTTAAAACATATATTCCCAAGTTGATGCTACTGAAGTAATTTCTGTAAAGTAATGAATATCTGTACTTTTTATGGTTGCCCTTTTCAGCCTTACCTTTGTAGTTATTGATCATCACAAAATCCCGCCATTGGAGGTCTTGGTTTGCTTGAATGAATCTAGTGTTCATTTATGCGATAATATTACTATTAATATTTCTAATTACTTGGGTTGGGTATGTAAAGAACACATAAAATAAATTTTAGTTTATGGACGAAGTAGCTGTAGCTGAAATATGTTCACAGTTTATGTGTAGAAGTTTGATCCTTGCGCAGGAGATAACTCATAGAGCCATTTAAAGAACTGAACTTTGTGTCCTATCATTATTACATGATCCTCTAAATACATTTATTTCTTTAATTTTATGTAACCACGTAATTTGTTTTGTTCTCACTTCACATATTTTTACATTACCCTTTTGAAATGGCAGTCATTATTAGCTCCAGCTGATGGAGAATTATTACCATCAAATCATCATGGCCTTTAAAGGGACACCACTGAAACCAAGCTGCAGTTTAAGGTATCAGAATGATATTGAATTAGTTGGTTTTGCCCTCTTGGGTATGATGCAAATTCTCTGAATATTGGGGATTATTGCTGCAAGGCTGGTTAGCCAGTTCCTCTTTTTTTTAGGG